GAAGTGATTTATCGAACAAAACACATTTGAACACTTTAAAGGGCCAACTCCCGAAGCGTGGGCGGTTCACAGTTATAATTATGTTTCAACAACGAAAAATAATGCAGAACATAAAACAACAATAAGAAAAAGGTGTTTGTTGACCCAGTTCGATTATCAACCAATCTACATCCGGGGGATTCCAATCCATGAGACATTCTACTAATCGTGATTACAGAGTATAAACAATCACAACTGCTTCAACTCAAACTCCTATCATGGTCTACCTTGGAATATACCTCCACAGGTTCACGTTGTCACAAATGCGTACTGACAACGACCATATAGTATAGCCGCTCAGAGTTTGATTATCCTCTCCGGTTAGAACTCCTTTAACTCCGATCACGTCGACCTCTTCGGCGAATTTTTTTGTCAAAAACTCATTCAAAACTAAAGAGAATCGATATGGATAGAGTGTTAGAACTTCACTCAATATTCATCTCTCTAAAAGTATGATCTCCAAAGCACTTATCACCAATCTTCAACTCTATTCGGTTGAGTAAATCACTCACATTCCTGGAATAAAAGATTTCACATTAATTTCCCTTTGCACCGAAATGGAATGAGTGAGTTTCCATATTTTGATCTTTCCTCAAATATGTCTTTTGTCTTTTGGAAAGTCTTTGCTGCATAAATTAAGACACCATTAGTTCATATGCCAAAATAACTTAGGGGAATTTCCATTCACAGTATAATTTGATTGGTGGATAAAGGTTCCACTCTCGAAATGCTCAATTTGCAAATCAAGGCAAAATTTAGTTTTTCCAAAATATTTGATCTCAAACTCCTTTTTCAGATATTCAACAGTTTTCTCGATTTCATCAAAAGTTCCAATTAAATTGAGATCATCGACATATACAACAATGATTACAAATTTTGACCCATTATTCTTTATGAAAACACATGGACAGATATGGTCATTTATGTAACCTTCTTTTGTTAAGCTTTCGCTGAGACGATTGTACCACATTCGGCCCGATTGCTTGAGCTCATACAAAGATTTTTGCAATTTAATGGAATATGATTCTTTTGGCTTTGATTTGAATGATTCAGGTATGTTAATCCCTTCTGGAATTTTCATATAAACATCATTGTCTAAAGAGCCGTCAATATAGGCAGTAACCACATCCATTAATCGCATATCAAGATTATAGTGTACTGCTAGGCTCACCAGATACATGAATGTTATTCCATCCATGACCGGCGAATATGTATCTTCAAAATCAATGCCCGGTCACTGGGAAAAACTCTAGGCTACAAGTCTTGCTTTATATATTGTGATATCATTATTTTCATTTCTTTTTCTCACAAACACCCATTTGTCGCCAACAGGTTTTACATTTACAGGTGTTGGACTATATGGCCAAATATTTGTCATTTATTCAATAAGTCCAATTCAGACTTAATTGCGTCTTTCCATTTTGCCCAATCATCTCTTTTCCGACATTCATCAACTATTTTGGTTCATAATCCTCGTCATCTTTCATTATATCGAGTGCTACAGAATATGCAAATACATTACCAATATTTGTTTTCTTTTTGTTCCAATGTTCCTGGTGGTATAGTTAACGGAAGTTTCAATAACTTCATCTTCACTTTCATCATAATTTTTAGTATCAACCTCTCCAGGGGTTGTACTGACCTTTTCAGGTATCTAATCATTGTTGATATCTTCACAATTATTTACAATTTTCTTCTTTCGTGGATTCTTATCTTTGGAACCCAACGGTCTGCCACATTTTACGCGGGTAGTATGCTCATTAGCACTTGGCACCTTCCCTTCTGGGCTATTTATTTTAGCCGGTGCATTTGTTCCTGCTATATATGATTTCGTAACTCTGACAGCATCATTAAAGACATCAGGCAACTGATTTGCAATTTTCCGCAAAAGCACAATTCTTTGAACTTCGAGTTCACTATGTTTCGTACGAGGATCAAATTCAAGTGGCGTTTTCCACAAAATTTCTTTTTTCAGTTGATTATTATCTCCCTTAATGTCGGGAAATGAGATTTCATCAAAGTGATAGTCTGCAAACCTTGGAATACATAAATCACCCATTGTTGGTTAAAGATATTTTGCAATCGAGGATGATTCATATCCGACATATATACCCAACCTTCTTTGAGGTCCCATTTTCGTACGTTGGGGTGGCGCAATTGGCACATAAACAATACACCCAAAAATTCGCAGGTGAGATATATTTGGTACTTTTCTAGATACCAATTGAGTAGGGGAATAACAGTGATAACTTGTCGGCCTTATTTTCACGAGGGCTACTGCATGCAATATGGCATATCTCCAAGCTGATACGGAAAGTTTAGACCTCATTAACAATGGTCTAGCAATTAATTGCAAACTTTTGATAAGGGATATTCAGCCAGGCCATTTTGCATATGTACACGGGGAACAGGATGTTCCACATAATCTCAATTGACATGCAGTAATCATCAAATGTATGTGATGAATACTCTCCAGCATTATCTAAATGTTGTGTTCGCAATTTAATTATTTGTGCAAGTAGTCTAGCGAAAGCTAGATTGCGAGTAGATAACAAACATACGTGTGACCATCGCGTTGATGCATCAATTAGTACCATAAAGTACTTGAAAGGTCCACACGGAGGATCTATAGGTCCACAAATATCACCCTGAATTCTTTCCAGAAAAGTTAGGGATTCAAATCCAACCTTTGTTGGAGATGGCCTGATTATTAACTTCCCTTGGGAACAGGCAACACAAGCAAATTCATTCGGACTCAAAATATTTTTCTTTTTCAATGGGTGGCCATTTGAATTTTCAACAATTCGTCTCAGCATTACATTGCTAGGATGCCCAAGTCGATCGTGCTAAGTTTTAAATTCGCTAGTAGTCATTTGGTCTACTAGGTGATATGTTTCAATGGCACTGACTTTTGAATAATACAAACCGGAAGAAAATAATGGCAATTTTTCGTTCACAATTCTTTTGCTATTCACAATCTGAGTAATCAATAGATACTCGTTTTCTGCCTCATTCAATGTTTCAATATGATACCCATTTTTCCAAATATCACTGAAGCTCAGTAAATTTCTTCGAGCTTTGCTCGAGAACAGGGCATTTTCAATTGCCATTTTTTTCCCTTTAGGGAGAAATACAGTAGCTTTCTTGAGCCTTCAATTATTTTCGATGCACCACTGGTAGTAACAATAGTGGTCTTTCCCATATTCAAGTGGGAGAAATAACATTTTTTTTCAGAATACTATGAGTCGTAGCACTGTCGATAAGACATATATTGTCATCGGCTCCAAAATATTTGGCATCCATATCTTTTCAAAAAGGTAAAAATAATAAAAGACATGTAGTAGTAACATAATCAAAATAAACTTATATTATAGGGGGTAATACAAAAATGGGGTAGAAAGCATCAAAATAGAAAAAGAGATACGACAACATTTTATCATTTAATATAATCAGCTATATCAAGCAGATCATCGGCATCCAGGTGCGTGATATTTTCATTCATCAGATCATCAAATGTGTCATTGTGGGCAACATGGTTTGTTTCGGCAACATCTCTTCCCTGTCTTTCTTTTGAGGCCCGATACAGTTCAGCCAAGTGACTGGTTGTGCAACAAACGTGGGCCCAATGGCCTTTGATTCCATACCGGGTGCATTCCTTGTCATTGTTTATATTTCTCCCGGTGTTGAACCATTGTTGAGGTCTGTACGGTCTTCTGTCATTATAATGCCGATTTCGCACATATCGGGGCCTGTTTTGATAATTATTATGACCGTATGCATTTGTTCGGCCCCGACCGCGATTCTGATTTCGATCACGATCAATTCGTTGATTTCTAACCTGCCCACGACCACGCACTGGATTTGCCGGTTGTATTGCATTTGCCTCTGAAACTGGATTTGCACCTGTTGCCCGAGATTCGTGATTTTTAATAGTAATTCATTATTTTGTTCGGGCAACAAAAGACAGGTGATCAGCTCATAATATTTCTGGAAGCCTCTTTTGCGATACTGCTGCTGCAAAACCATGTTAGAGGCATGAAAAATAGAGAATGTTATCTCCATCATATTAGATTCAAATATATTTTCGCCACAGTGGATGTTATTTTAAACATAGCAAAATTATATTCTTGGACAGTTTTAAAGTCCTGAAGCCGTAGACTTTGCTATTCGCTTCGTGCACATGGCAACAATGTCAACCTCAAATGATTGTATCTTTCTTTTAATATCTCCCACAATTCAAGTAGGGATTCCAACGTGACATACTGTATTTTCAGTGCCTCATCGATGTGATGACATAAAAAGATCATGGCCTTTGCACGATCTTGGCTCGGGGAAGTTTTATCCCGGACAATGGTATTTTCCAAGCTCATTGATGCTAAATGCATTTTCACGTCGCGAGCCCATGTCATATAATTTTAGCCAGAAATGAGGAGAGAGAAAAATTCATGTTTGGCAAGGTTAGACATAATAAATAGATAAAGATAAAATATTACCTTGTGGAAATTAAAATATATAATCGTGCTTATAACGTGTTGTAATATTATTATAAGATTAATCAATAAAAATATTAATTATCTCTACCACTAACTACTATTTTATATTATGTAATATATTATATATAATATTATACATATGCGCAGCATGTATATATACATATAAATATATATGCTTATATGATGGTATATAATTGTATATATTTATATATGATATAAGTATTATAATAATAATTAGTAATCACATATATTATAATATCCTAACACCTAGATATGCTCATATATAAATATTATAATAATAATTAGTAATCACATATATTATAATATCCTAACACCTAGATATTAGCTAAAATGACTATTTCACCCATCTGGTAAGAAATAGTTTGATTTTTATTTGTCTATTTTTGTGATCTCCACCTCATAATTGTCTAAATACGTCATTTAACACAAGGGATTGATTTCTTTCAATGTTTATTCCAAGAGCATGTAATCAAGACCCATTTACCGAATGTAGACCTATTTCCTTCAATGTTTCTTCTATTTTTGATTTCTATTCCGAGGCAACTCTCTCCTCCGTCACCGTCGCCGGCCCTGCTCCGCCTCACTACCACCATATTTACTTTCCGTCGTTCCTTCTCGCCTGTGCCTCGGTGAGGTAGTTGTTTGTATTTTGCAATTTTCTTCTCGGCCGATTCGTCAATGCTCCAATGCTTTTGGTTCTGTTTCGTTAGAGGTCTTCAGCGATGTTCGCGCCTTCGAAATTCCGCTAGACGGTGATGATGTGGGGATCGGTCAATGCCTTGGTTATCCGAAGGCCTACACCAAGCTATGCCGAGATAATGGCTTCGGAATGTATACCTTGGATTCGCAGGAAGAGGTATGGAATTATGCCTTCTGGGGTTTAGATTTGCAATATTTTGGTGAATTCGAAGCGTGGGAGCTATGTAGATTGATTATATTCCGTTTCTTTCTTCTATTTGCTCATCAAGAAGATGTGTTTGTATTGATTTCACCTTACTGCTTTTGCTGGTAGTTAGAGGTCAGGACATTGTGGTTGTTTATAGTTCGATTTTACAGGAAATAAATTGCTTTGGTTAGTTCTGTATTTTTTGAATTCAACACCAAAGACCAATTACTGTATGATTTCAATTATACTGCAAGTTTAGATATGCAAGCTTTATCATAACAATCTCATGGAAATGTGCCACCTGAAATCAAATGTTCTATGAGGTGCACTCATTGCGTTGTTTGTAATGACAGGTATGTTGTATTTTGCCTTAACAAATTAAATATTCTTTCCTTTTTGTTTCTATTGTATTATGAGTTCTGGTTGTTCCAAAGAACAAGTTGGTATTATCGATTCTTGATAACCATGTACTTCCAGCTTCTAGATAACCATGTATTGGCAGCTTGTAGATAGCTGAGAGAATTTGAGTCTATACCATTGACAATGTACCTTTCTTTCTTTCTTTCTTGATTTGTCTACCTGCATTGTTAATAGGGAGTCCAAAATGTACAGTTTCTTAGTCCAATTACCTTTTCCGCTTCAGTCAATGACATGCAATAATGTTATTGAACGGACTATGCATTTGACCTACATGAAATCTCATGTATGGAGGTGGTTCAAATTCTTTTCCATTAATAACTTCAGTTTAACCTTTCAATGTAGTATATATACTTACAAACTCATAGTTGAATGATTTATTGATGTCAAACTTTTTTCATGTGTTCGTTTGTAGCAATCTTGGACCACCCTCCACCTTTCCAGAAATTAAGAAGTTGCACCTACTGCTATACCTCGCACAGTCTTACAACAAATTCCTACATCTACAGATTTGGGATTTGAAGGTACAGTTATTGTGGTGATTTAATTGAATTATTACATTTAGTTTGCATCAATAATAAAAATTTTAGTTTGGTAGTGGGTTCACTTCTTATACATTTAGAATTTTGGAAAACCTTCATTTCAATGTGATGGACTTGAATCAGGCTGAACAAAGTTTGCCTCATCAATCATCTATCCAACAACAAGAGGTGGTTGGGCTTTCACCCCAAGATCATGACTCTCAACAAAATGAAATTCTGAAACAGGTATCAATTACCAATGAACATTTCAGCCTCATTTTTTTTCCAGAGAATGGTTTGAACTTGTGCTGTAGTACACAATATGTTCTTTACATTTTAACTAATTTTTTTTCATCTTTTGAATTTAAGTTTTCATAACATAATAACTATATAATATTTGCCTATATTATCTGTTAGTTATTTATATATCATGTGGTACCACTTCAGGGATTCAATTTATTTTATATTGTCTTGGTTTGCATCTTTCTACAATTTATATAAATCTCTGCATCAACTGTGTCCAATTATTATAATAATCATGCAAATACAATTTTGTCTTTATATGCTAATAGTTATATTTTTAAACAAAGAATTCCTCCATTTAGTTCAAAGAAACCAAATCAAGTTAAATATATACTATATAAAATATCCAAGTCAATTAAAAGTAATATAGTTGAGTTTTTAATTGAATTGAACTTCAAAAAACAAATATCTAATATCTTTATTCTAAAATAATATATAATTATTTTTGTTGTTTACAAAAAATTAATATTCACAATAACTGTCTATACACACTATTGAGATTATTTTAAAATTTTCTATAAATACCAGCTATAAATTTTACTATGTATAATGATTTACGTATTGTAAATTTATAGGAATTTTTGGGCGTTTATTATATTTGGATAATTGATTTAGAAATTCATACAATTACTTTATTTTAATCTATGACAAGAAGATAATTAATTTAGAAATTCATACAAGTTTATAGTTTTGTGTGTGCTTACATAGCAGGAACATCAGTCATACTTGCTGTAAATTGGTCAACACTTTTGTTTTATATTACCCATTTCAGTCCTGTAACCTCCTCACTCTACTCCTCCAAATCGGACTCACAGTTCCCGTCGGCGAACTCCTCCCAAGGTATTCTATATTTCCATTCAACTTTTTACTAAATAGACGTAAGCATTACAATCCTAAATCACTTAATTTCTGTACATTGAAGGAGTCCTCCTTAAACCCTCCACCGAGATTTGTTCAACAATCGCTCTCCTCTACCGTCACCATTGAAATTAGCTCGGAAAGCTCTTTAACGTCAAGGTACACATCTATTAACCAGAATCTGCCTTTATGTTCACAGAGCTCCGCATTCGTGCGTTCTTACATAGTCCAACCGTTTAGAGGCAGTTTTATTTGACCTTTAGGTAATTGGTAAATGAATGAATATACAATCTTTACCTAAAACACTTCATCCACTGTTTCCTAATTACCTAAAAGAAATCTTATACGCAGCACAAACTAATTAATAAATTACCTTTCTAAAATTGAATTGTCAAACCAGAAATCCGAGAGAAAGCAACACACCTTCTCCCGAAGGTGCATTAACCTGCTTACATTATTTACTCCCAACAATGCCGCAACATCCAAACTTGCAGAGTGTACGACGATGTTTGATACGTAAGAGAAATTCCTCTGCCAGAAATACCATGGATTGCTCCAAATGTTCCCCCATGCATTCACTGTGGAGCAATCTTTTCTACCGTGAAATATATATATATATATATATATGTATGATGTGGAGAGATAAGTACCAGGGAGAGAGAAAGAGTCAGAGAAAGTATGAGAATTAATTGATGAATTCTTCGGTTTTTATTCCATGGATTCATACATATATTTGTAGGTACAGATTTGCCACTAAAATGATACAGCAACATCCACGTATCGTCGACTATAATATATACATAGACACTAGCGTTTACAATATTGTGATATTATTTTATTATTTTTTATATGAGTAGTGTTGATATTTTAAATATTTTTAAAATTATATTTCAACAAAATCTATGCAATATGAATATCATTTTATAAATAATAAAATTTTATATAATACAAATAAATAAAAATATATATATTTATTTATAATTAACTTAGAATTAATTATATATAAAAAGTTAAGAAGTTTTAAATATAGATAAAAATATTTGTTTACTGAAGAGAGAGATAAAAATAAAGTAATTTTGAGTGGGCCTCACATGTAACAGGTTAGAAATATAATTAAATTGATTTATAATATTTGTTAAATATGTTTAAAATAAATAAATTTATTAAAAATAAAAATGAATCATTTTTTATGGGACGGATAAAATAGGAAAAGTGGTCATATGTCGCGGAACAAAAAGAATATTTGTTAAGTATATTTAAAATTAAATAAATTTACAGAAGGACCATCTTTTATGGGATTAACAGAAAAAAAAAAAAAAGTCATCAGGATGAATAAAGTACTTTATTCCTAATAATAATAATAATAATAATAATAATAACAATAATTAAATATAAATATAAATAATTATTTATATATTATATTGAAATTATAATTTAAATATAATTATATTCAAATTATTAATTTATATGCTTCCTCCGTTTCGTCCGGCTCTAAGAGTCACATTTACGTTTTGCGTCGTTGTACTTAACATTGAAAATATTCTTATATTTATATAATTTTTTGCACAAATGTCATTATAATAGTATTATAAGACACTAATAGAGGTATTTTTGTCATTTTCCCTTAATTTGTATTATATTTTCATATAATAATTAATATTCAAAGATTAACACGTAAAAAGTAAATGAGATCCGTAGAGCCGGACGAATGAAATATTATATTTGAATGAAAATTTTAAAGATGCGCTTGAAAAATCAAAATTTAAAACTATAAAATTTAATATTTTTATTTTTAATAAATTGTAGAATAAATTTATTTAAAATTAATTATATTTTTTATTATATTTAAATTAAATTAAATTAAAAATATAATTTATAAAAATTTCCAATAAATTAGAAAATTTTAAACAAAAAAATCATTTATATTAGTATGTCTTATTTAGTAATTTTAACAATTTAAAAATATTTCTACTTTTGCTTTTAATGTCTTGTTTATTTTTTAAGTCAATTTAAACGAGCGATTAAGATAGAGTATAAAATATGAAATGTGTTCCTTTTAGTTTGGATGAGAAAATCTTTTAAGTTTAATATTAAAATAATATTTGATGTTATATTTTGTAAAATTATATATATATTTTCGAAATCGCAAGTTCATCTAGTTTAAGTGTATTTGTTTGGAGGTTCTGATTTTGGGTTGAGATTTGAATAGTAAAAATTTTGAATTTAAATAATTGTATGTTGTGATATAAATAGGTATTGATGTGATATTTTGAATATAAAATTAATTTTTAGAATAATATAGAAAATGAAAAATATGTATTTGATGTGACATTTTTTGGAGGTAAAATTTTGAATAAATAATAGATTTTTGACAAGATTCCTCAAACAAACACACTTACATCATTTGATGTTTAATAATAATAATAATAATAGACCAGATCCAAACTTTAGATCAACAAATGCTTGAAATTATTTTCTCCATCTAGCTAATTGTGTAACTTTATTTGGGCACTGAAATTAAAAGATAATATTTCTATATAAAAATAAGATAAATAAAAATTTAAATGAAGATATTATAAAAAGATTTTTAAATAATTAATAAAAAATTATGTGATAAGTAAAAAAATAATATATATTTATTAAATTAATAAAATTGCTAATAAATAAAAATATTTACTATAAATAAATTGTGTATAAATAATTTTAGTGTATAAAAGAAATACATAATAATAATAATAAATAAATAAAAAGCATTCTAATATATAAATATAATAATGTGACGAAATCAATGGCTGTTATTAGTTCGTACCTTGTATTGTATAGTTGAAGTTAGTAGGATTTGTATTGTATGGCTGCAGAAGGAAAGGCTTCCTCCTTCCACTGTATGGTATGGTACGGTATGATTTTACCAGTGCACCTTACCACACTGAATCTGAATCCTCTAATAGGAACGAAAGCCAACAAATAACAATGGCCGTCAAAATTCGAATCAATTACTATAATTTAATATTAATTATTATTATTATTATTATTATTATTGGCTGATGCTCACCTCATTCTCCAACAGCCTCAAATCTCACACACACATACATACATACATACGGTTTCAGTTAAACCTTCTAAACATCTCTATTTTGTACTCATCCAAAAATATCATGCCCACCTGGCCTCACCTCATTGGTCCACTAATTATAGCCTCAAGCCCCAGCGCACATCTTTATCTTTGTACACACATTACTCTCGCTCAACCTCTATAGCACCAGCTTAAACCTTACCTTACTTCATATATAAATTTAACATAAAAAATGGATATATATATATATAAATATAAATATAAGGTCAATAAGTTTAATGTAACTTAACATAATATAAATACAATTTAACATATTCCGTAGGGATGACATGGTGGTGTGATGACTCGACGTCTCCAGGTCAATAAGTTTAACATAATATAAATACAATTTAACAAGTTCCGTAAGGATGACATAGTGGTGTGAGAACTCGACATCTCTAGGTCAATAAGTTTAATATAGCTTAACATAATATAAATACAATTTAACATGTTCCGTAAGGATGACATGGTGGTGTGAGGACTCAATGTCTCCATGTCAATAAATTTAACATAGCTTAACATAATATAAATACAATATAGAGCATATAAATTGATATACATAATACTCCCTTCATCTACACATAAAGTAAACAATTACTTTTAGCGCGATGTTTAAGAAATAATAAGACATTTTTGTCCTTACTTTTTGGTGTAAAAATAACGATGTGATGTAAAATAAAAGTATTTGCGAAAAAAAAAAATAAAGTATTTAATAAAATATTTACTTTGTTAGATGTCCCAAAATATAAGTTTGTATAGTTTCTAGCTGGACGGAGAGAATATAATATAACATATATTGTATTTATTCAAACCATATATTTTATGTGTTGTCAGCGTAAATCAGCGCGTTAACTAACCACGATGTGTGTATATATATATAGAAAGAGACCACACACAAGGCTCATGCATAGTGAAGGGTGTGTATTATTTTTGTAGCAAAAGAGTGATAAGGTTGTGAAAAAAGAACCTCAGCTAGCCTTGAGCTTATCTGCGGTCTCTACCAACAATGACTTCAGCAGCATCACTCCTCAAGCCATCTCCGGCGGTGCTCGAAAAGTCCGACTTCATCAAGGGAAAATCCGGCCTCCTACGGCAGCCCTTAGCCTCCACGCGATGCAGCCCCAACGCAGCTCCGTCACTCGCCATTCGCGCCTTCTCCTATGCCGATGAGCTCGTCAAGACTGCAGTCAGTATCACTTTATCTTCAAATTAATAATCATAGTGAGAATGAATCTTTAACTATAAAAACAAAAATCTGTTTGATCCAGAAAACTGTTGCGTCGCCCGGGCGTGGAATTCTCGCCATGGATGAATCCAACGCCACTTGTGGAAAGCGGCTGGCGTCGATCGGGCTGGAGAACACTGAGGCCAACCGGCAAGCCTACCGAACCCTCCTGGTGACTGCCCCCGGCCTCGGCCAGTACATCTCTGGGGCGATTCTTTTCGAAGAGACTCTGTACCAATCCACCACTGATGGCAGGAAGATAGTTGATGTTCTTGTTGAGCAAAACATTGTTCCTGGAATCAAAGTCGACAAGGTACTAAAGAAAAAAAAAAAAAAAGTATTCTAGAAAATAATATAAAGAATACCTTCAAAACTACACAAGTCTCTCTCGTATTTTAAAAAACAGCAATATTTTGTAAACCATATGTCAATGAAATTTCTAAATTATAAAGAATAACAATTTTCCAAACTACATATAGTTATAAGCAATTTGCCTAAAAAAACCGAAACACTCTTACGGTTGCATTGGATTCGAGCAGGGACTGGTTCCTCTAGCTGGCTCCAACGACGAGTCTTGGTGCCAAGGTCTTGACGGCCTTGCTTCGCGCTCCGCTTCTTACTACGAGCAGGGTGCTCGCTTCGCCAAATGGTATTTTTAACTGCTGATGAATTGCCATACTTTACGTAGCAATGATCATCAATGGCTAAAATCTTGTGATTGGATTAATGAGTGGATGAATTAATTAGGCGTACCGTTGTGAGCATTCCGAATGGACCATCGGCCTTGGCGGTTAAGGAGGCTGCCTGGGGGCTGGCTCGCTATGCAGCCATTTCTCAGGACAATGGATTGGTCCCAATTGTGGAGCCGGAGATCTTGCTGGACGGCGAGCATGGCATTGAGAGGACGTTTGAGGTTGCTCAAAAGGTTTGGGCTGAGGTGTTCTTCTACCTGGCGGAGAACAATGTTATGTTTGAAGGTATTCTCCTGAAGCCGAGCATGGTCACTCCCGGCGCAGAATCGAAGGACCGCGCCACACCAGACCAGGTTGCCGACTACACTCTCCGACTCCTCCACAGGAGGATTCCCCCTGCTGTTCCTGGAATTATGGTAACTTCTGCAACCTCAATTCAAATCACTAAACATTTTGCTCACAGGATTATATATAATTTAGGCAAAATTGCTTGTGAATTGAAAATTCTGCATAATTCTTTTTTATAATTTAGAAATGGCATGATACTCCCTCCTCGTATTTTTTGAAACATAGCACACAAAATATTTACAAATAGCATGTAATTCTTCAAACTACATGTAGGTTATAAGCAATTTTGGCTATAATTTAATTGGATGTTGTTTCTAATGCTTAGACGGCACTTTTCAGCATAGTGATGACAAAATCAAATATATACAAGTAGCATATAAAATATAAGTCTAACACCACATGGTTTATATTAATATTAATTCAAGTGCAGTATATAACGACCATTGATTTCATAACATAAAATACATTCACAAAGCACATGGTGAAGTAAAGTCTAAACTGGAAGCATATAAAGCATCCTGAGATTTAACCTGTACCGACCTTTTGAGCAGTTCTTGTCCGGCGGGCAATCTGAGGTGGAAGCCACACAGAACTTGAATGCAATGAACCAATCTCCGAACCCATGGCACGTGTCGTTCTCCTATGCAAGGGCTCTCCAGAACACCTGCTTGAAGACGTGGGGAGGCCTTCCGGAAAATGTGAAGGCTGCTCAAGACGTGCTCCTTGTTCGCGCCAAGGCTAACTCCCTGGCGCAGCTCGGTAAGTACACCGGCGAGGGAGAATCTGAGGAAGCCAAGCAGGGAATGTTTGTCAAGGGCTACAGCTACTAAGCTCATTACACTGAGGAACAGATACAACAATGAGTTACCATCCATGCATATGTTATTAGCAATGGAGAGTATTATCAACGAATGCTGATGAGAGCTAGCTTCTTAATTAATTAGTTTGCTTTGCTAGCTGTATCGAACACAGCAGCAGCAGCAGCAGGCACGGTGGTATATTCAGCTTTTTTCAGGACTTGTGGTGTGATGGTGATTTGATACTAGTGTGAATGCATATTTGCCTTTCCAAATAATTCCATATGAAACTAGTTTGTTGTAGATCAATGGCAGATTAATGCTAAACAGGATGATCTGATCTGATCTGAAAAACTCTTCAGTAATCAAATAATCAGCATAACCATCACAAGCATCAATCATGACTAAGTATTAACATATTACAATTGTAGTCGTAGAAACCATCTACAGAAACTACAAATCAACACAAACCATACAAACTTTGAAGGGAATGGAAGGGAAGAAAAGGAGTATGTATAATTCTGAATCAACGAATGCAATTGAGAATCTAAAACGAGAAGTCATTTACAGCGTCAAACAGACAAATCTAATGAATGCATATCCCCTGCTTCAATACTTGAAGATCAGATGAACTATATATATATATGTATACTTTTCCAATCTACGATAGACAGTCAGAGATCAATGGTAAAAGCCTAAACATAATACATAATCTGTGGAGACTGACTCAACACTCAATCAATATAATATAATAAAATAACGAATTACTACAAAACAATCTCACACTAGCGGAAAACATCTTCAGAAACTACCGATAAGATCAAAACCAAAAGACTAAACAGGATAGATAGATAGATAGATAATCTGGAGACGCGAAAATCAAACCATCACAATAACCAATTACTGCAAAATTATATATATGAAAAATAAAAATAAATAAAATTGAAAAACATACTAGAGTCTTGGAAATCATCTACAGAATCTGCAAATGAATATACGCCATAAAACGAAACAAAATTAAGGTGGACAAAATTGCACGTAAGTTCAAATTAAAAGGAAAATAGATAAATAAATGGATGCAATTTGAGAATTTAAACGCAGCAAAACAAGCGGAATCGAAGGAGTATTGCAAAACCAGTGCTACCTTATCGCCGTTCACCAGAAGCACGACGGAGCGCCGCCTCACCGACCGCCGGTAATAAGAAACACTGTCGATCCCACCATCGTTCCTTACTTTCGAAAGTCGCGGCGAAATAAAAGTTCTAACCCTTAAATATATATATATATATTTACTTATAGTAAAATATAAATAAAAAAAATAAAATAAAAAAAAAAACATCTTTTTTTAGTATAAATTTACGGGGTGTTTGACAAATAGCTTATTGAATAGCTTTTAGCTTTTTGACTGGTTAGATGTTTGGTAAATTAGTTTTTTGAAATAACTTTTTGACCCAAAAAGTTGAAAAGCTAACTTACCCAAAGTTTTAAAATAGTTTTTTCTATAAATTTTTTTTATTCCTTATATACCCTTCAAAATTTATTATACATTTTACACAAATAAATATATTTTGATTATTTATTAATTATATTAGAATATTTTATTATATTATAGTTTTACTTTTATAAATTTAAAATAATTAATTTTTATATAAAATTATTTTAATTGTAAAATATATAAATTTATTAAAATCAACATAAAATAAAAATATAACTATTAATAATTTATTTTTTATTAAAATTACATATATATATATATATATTTTATACTAAAAATAAATTAAATAAATTAAATTTATTGAAAATTTTAAAGATAATGAACTAATCGATAACTAATATAATAAATATATACACAAAAAATTTATTATTTTATATTTTACATCATTTTCAATAAAAAAAAAACTATTTATATATTTTAATAAAAATATATTATTTTTTAAATTTAACTGTAATAAAAATAAATATTTTTATAACACTTTTACAATTTTCAATAACTAATAACAAAAAAATTTAAACATTCTAAACTCAAAAAAACATAATTGAATATATTAGAAATAAGAATAAAATAGAAATGTCCTCAATTGTCATTTTACGTATAAAAAGCTAATATCAAACAGTTGTTTTACCAAACATTTTAATACAAACAGTTAATCGAATTAGCTAATCAAACCAGCTAATTGAATCAGCTAACAGCTATCAGCTAATTGAATCAGCTAACAGCTAACAACTATCAGCTAATTGCCAAACACGCCCTTAGTTTCAAAAATTTGAATAAATTTTTCATATATTTTATAAATTGTGTAAAGCTTTCTTATATTTTAATAAATGTTATATAAAAATATAGATAAAAAGTTATCTTTTCATCACAAAAAAATATATAAAAATGAGTTTCGTGGAAAATTTTTTAAAGTACAAGGGGTTAATGCAAGTTTTCAGAGTATTTACACTGACTTTTGAAATTATAAAGGAGTTATTGATAAATTTTTATATCCACATGCTACACATGGTTGTCTTGCCTTGTCAGGGTATTAGGTTCGATATGAGTTTATTCAAAAAAAAAATGGTTTAAATTTATTCAAAAAAAATGGTTTAAATTTAATATTAAAATAATATATGAATGGATGTTTTGTGAAAAAATAAATAAATATTTTTTTTGAAAAACGCAAAAAACTAAGATTTGGAGTAAAAGAAAATAAATATATATATACACACACGTGTGGACTATTTATATAAGTGTATATATATTTATATATTATATATAAGGGTAATAAATGTAAGAGTGATAATGGAAAAATTGAGCCGCGAAAGAAAATTAATGTGATATAAAATAAAAACTTTTATTCTCTTTTATTCCATACAAAGATTTATTATATATATATATATATATAGTAGTACATGTAATTATTATATGACCACCTTGCATCTTGTTGGATGAAAAGCATCCATATAAAGTATATACATTTGGATATAAGTTATATGTATATTTCGTAACACTTTCCTTCGAATGCTTTTATACAAAAAATTTGTCTTTTTAAAACCTTATTAGGAAAAAATTCCGTAGAAAAAAATCATAGTGAAGGAAAAAAGTACAATATTCTTGTATTAATATGTTTTCTCTATTTTGAACTTTATTTGATATTTTTCAGCCGATGCATTCCAATTCCTTGTACCAATTTGTTGAATGTTGCAGTCGGTAGCGCCTTTGTAAATTAATTTGCAAAATTTTCAGAAGATAGAATTTGTTGTACATTAATTTCACCACTCTTCTGAAAATCATGAGTGAAAAAGAATCTTTGAGATATGTGCTTTGTCCGATCACCTTTAATATATCTTTCATTTAACTGAGCTATACAAGTTGCATTATCTTCAAATAATATTGCGGAGGTAATATATTATCAGAAATCAAGCCGCAATTTTTCTAAATATGGTGAGTCATAGACCTCAACCAAACGCATTCACAACTGGCTTCGTGAATTACTAAAACTTCAGCAAGTTTTGAAAAAGTAGTTGTTATCGTCTGTTTAGCATATCTCAAAGAGATTGTTGTTCCACTTGAAGTAAATAAATAGTCAGTTTGAGATTTTGTTTTTGTGGATCAGACAGATAATCAACATCAGTATAACCAATTAATTCATTCGAATAAAATAGACCGAGGTCATGAGTCCCCTGAAGATAACAAAAAATGTGTTTGATACCATTTCAATAGCGTTTTGTGGGGGATGCGCTAAACCTGACTAGTAAATTTACCGAAAAAGATATATTTGGCCTGGTACAATTTGCAAGGTACATTAATGCCCAATAGCGTTAAGATATTGATAACTAATATTTGTAATTATATATATGTATATATTCACAAGGAATTTTATATTTGAAAGTTGAGGTGAATGACTATAGAAAGCGGTCAGATATAGTAAAAAGTTGTGGTTGTAGACCCTAAGTAGTTATCATAATTATTTATATGTTTTTTCTGGTGAGTTTCCAGGTCGAACACAGGGATTTTAAATCATGAATTTTAAAATCAAGTATAAATCTTTTGAAAGCGGCGAAGAAATGCAGTAAGGGACCCGTTTTGCAGCGGATCAAATTTTTAATTCTAAGGAAAGCGGTAAGTAAAGTGGTAAAGTGTTGCGGAGACAAGCGGCGCGGAGGTGAGCGTGAAGTGCCAGTGAAGGACAAGCGGATGGGACATGAGCGAGTGGCACAATGAATGTACATATATATATAATAAGCGGTAAAGAGTGAAGGAGATGTGTTGTGTTTGAACTGTGCGTTACTTAATGGCTAGATTTTCCTGGATGAAATGAGCGGGCGATGATGGTGTATTAACGGATGTATATGTAATTATATAAACCAGATTATGGAGAATTCTTATCACTGGTATCTGACCTTAAGGGATTTACAACAAGACTTCAATGACACCCAGAATTGGAACATTATAAAAAAGAAACCCTACTGTCACTAAGAATTTCTGCGACCTAATAGACCACCGCCTATGCCCCATTAATTATCCCAAATTCTGTCTCATTAGTGGCTTTACCCTTCTGTTACCTCTTTTTAATCAAAATTGAATTCAACCCAGTAGTTAAGCAGGTCGACAAGGCTCCTGCTGCGTAGGGCAAAAGATAATTAATACATTGAACTACCTTGAAAATGCCTGTGGCAAAAAATAAGGCTTAGATAAACAATTCTTCTGTGCTCTAAACCAGTTAAACAAAATTCTTTACAATCAAGATTTATATAAGTATGAAAAAGTATGAAAGTATTGAATGATATTTCATTACTTACTACCAAAGCTGGAAATTCTAATTCTACAAAACTGTAAATGAAAGCAATAAAACTACACTAAGTAAGCAGTAAAGTCTTGGCCAAGGGAGAAGGGGAATCCCCACTCCCTTAGCTATTCCTGTGGAGAACTCCTTTACAGGGTTGGAGCTCTCGGAGAACAGAAAGACAACTAGAATGCACAGAAAATTAATCGCTAGTATACTCTAGTCGAAGTATATCTACATACAGATATATGGCCTTATTTATATTAGATAGAAGTAGCGGTTACAAGCAGTTATAAAGTGGTTTTAACCGCTAGGCAGTTAGGCAGTTGATGACGGTTATTCTGTTGAGGCAGTTGCTGGTCATAACTCCTAGTGTGCTCGGTCTGCTTGCATAGGGTTGTAAGGGCACAAATTTTCCTCGCTTGCCGGACGGCTGGAGGGCATCAGCGCAGCTAGGCGGGCTTGCTTGTGCTGGCAGGTAATGAATGGTTGTACCGCTGCAGTTGGGACACTTAGTCAATTTTGAGTTGGGTTGCTGTCACTCTGCAGCGGTGGGTGTTTGGGCTGTCGCTTGCGAGCGGGAGAGACTACCGCTTGTGAGCGGTGAAAGCTACCGCTCGCCTCTCTTGCCTTAGTTTTTTGGGCGATGTAATCGCCGCTTGCGACCGGAGGTGGTTGTTGCTTGTGGCATCTGCCTTAACTTTTCTGGTACCAAAACACCGCTTAAAAAGGACAAAAATCGTTAACAATCTCAAGAAACCAACTCTTGGATCATGCCAAGTGATATAGACCAATAAAATATGCCACTAATCAGTTATTGTGATGGTTTTTATACAAAAATTCAAGTAATATGTAGTTTTGTCAAGCAAAGAATATGCTTATATTTGGAGTCATCAGATATGGTACATCGGGGCCAAGTATATCTTCATTTTCTTCTCTTGGCCTAAATGGATATTTATTGATATCAAGAGATCTGACCACCATTAGTGTATTTAGAGAGTGATATTTATCCAAATAAAATTGCTTTAATACCTTTTGGTATACGCGGATTGATGAAAAAATATTCTATTATTAAAATGATCCACTTGTAATTCCAAATAATATTTTGTCTTTCCAAACTCTTTGATCTTAAATTTTTTCTTTAGATATTCAACTGCAATTTGGATTTTTTCAGAAGTTCCAATTAAATTGAGAACATCAACATATATTGCAATAATGATAAAATTTGATCCATTTTCTTTATAAAGACGCATACGCATATTGGATCATTAGTATAACCAGCTATTAGAAGCCATTTCTCTTAAGGGTATAACGTGTCGAGAAGTTGGAGGGATCTCTTCTGGTCACGGACGGCAGTTAGCCGGATGTCATACCTTGGCGAAGAAGAGAGGTA